ACAGGGAAGTTAATAAATTGTACCTGAAAGCAATCAGTACCAGAAATGAACCATATTAGGTCCAAATGGCACAAAGCTCAAAAGGCAGAGACAGAGGATTTCTGGTATGCACACCAGTTCAGCTTCTGCCCTCCTGAGGCCTGTCGGCTTCCCAATCCCCATTTTCTTCTCACCAATGCAGTGTTGACGGCAGCTGATACCACAGTGGGGAGACAAGGGGGATCCTCAGAAAAAGAGATCTTGGCAGCTGCTGGGACATCCCTGGAATCCCAGCCACCAGGTCAGCTCGCCAGAAGCAGCAAGAGCAGTTGCCGTTCTGCCCAACAGTGTGAACAGGTAAACCCTGGCATGTTGCTACATCCAAATGCGGCTTCTGTTGGATACTGGGCCAGCTAGATAGCCTGAGGCATGTAGCCCTGTGCTAGGCACCAGGTCACTGTAAGCAAACTCAGAATTGGCTGCTCACTGCTTGAAAAGCCACACACAGAACAAGCAGATCTGGTTGGAAGGAAAATAGCTTTATTCAAGTGCTAGCCACTTAGAAGACAGCCAGACCCAAGTCTCATAAAGCTATTTTGAATTCTCAGGCTGGCTAATGGAGGCTTAAAGGGAAAGGTGGCATGGAAACAATGTGCAGGAATGGTGTGAGGTGTAGGTTTGCTTCTCATTTTTTGATGATTGACTTGAGTAATGGATCATCCAGAGGCCTGATTGGCGTTATGTCACCGGGGAACCAGTTATGGATTAACTGTGCATTGATTTCTTTTGCAAACGGAGAAAATTGTTATCAACATTTCTACTTCATGCCTGGATTTTTCCAAGATTGGCCTTTAGAATTCTCAAGCAAACAGGTAGTTAGATATAGATATAGCAAGAAATAAAGTGAGAGAGGTGATACTTTTAAAGTAAGCTAGCAAACTGGCTATGCCAGTTACCTAAGTGGTTACTAAATGAATGAATGAATGAAGTTACACAACATTTAAAAGTTACACAACATTTAGGCTTGTCCTACATTAGAAATAAAATGCCATATATATATATATATATATATATATATATATATATACACACACACAAACACAGACACTTTTTTTATTTAGAGAGCTTTGTAATATCTGTCTTTTTTTGAGCATAAATGCATAGACAATATATTTATTCTTGAATTCTTTCCAGAATAAAAACTATGATTGATCTCTTAAATATGGCAAAATGTTAATTGAAAAACTAGCCCCAACAGTATTTTCTATTTAAAATGTCTTAAATATCTGAAGTATTTAAATCACTTACTTCCATTTTCCTTATAAAAATTTGAAATAGCTTTGAATAAAAACATGCTACAATTTTTTAGATAATTATACATAAGTAGAAATAAAATAGAATAAAATGTAACTAGCGGCTACTAATTTTTGAATGAACATTATGTACATGGCATTATTGCTGCAACTTCACATTTTCTTTTTTTTTTTTTTTTTTTTTTTTTGAGACGGAGTTTCACTCATGTTACCCAGGCTGGAGTGCAATGGCGCAATCTCGGCTCACCGCAACCTCCGCCTCCTGGGTTCAGGCAATTCTCCTGCCTCAGCCTCCTGAGTAGCTGGGATTACAGGCACGCGCCACCACGCCCAGCTAATTTTTTGTATTTTTAGTAGAGACGGTGTTTCACCATGTTGACCAGGATGGTCTCGATCTCTTGACCTCGTGATCCACCCGCCTCGGCCTCCCAAAGTGCTGGGATTACAGGCTTGAGCCACCACGCCTGGCCCCTACAACTTCACATTTTCAAAGAACTCCATCAGGTAGACATTGTGCTGCCAATTTATACCTCAGAAAATTAAGGTTTGCAAGGCTTCCCAACCGTATACCAATTATGAGTGGCAAAGTGCTGCAGGGTACTGTCCTCCCATTCCTACCACAGGCACCTGCTCCCCGCATCATGAAGAATGATCAGCAACACACATGAGATTCAGACCACAGAATCTCAATGAGCTTCAATGCAGCCAAGAAAAAGAGGGAAAAAATGCTTATTATATAGTATTTCCGCAAGAATGTCTCATAGAACTCTAAACCTGAAAAGTTGTTTTGTACTTCAAGAAAAAAAGTTTTCTTGCCTAAAAGAAATTGGGAGGCCGGGCGCGGTGGCTCAAGCCTGTAATCCCAGCACTTTGGGAGGCCGAGGCGGGTGGATCACGAGGTCAAGAGATCGAGACCATCCTGGTCAACATGGTGAAACCCCGTCTCTACCAAAAATACAAAAAATTAGCTGGGCATGGTGGCGCGTGCCTGTAATCCCAGCTACTCAGGAGGCTGAGGCAGGAGAATTGCCTGAACCCAGAGGCGGAGGTTGCGGTGAGCCGAGATTGCGCCATTGCACTCCAGCCTGAGTAACAAGAGCGAAACTCCATCTCAAAAAAAAAAAAAGAAATTGGGAGAGCCTGCATTTCCCAGGAGAACTTTGCAGTGTACATCAGAGTGCTAACAGCTTGGTGTAAATGTCCAGTTACATCACAATAAACTGTATTTACTCAGGATGTCCTAAATGTTTTTAACCATAGCACCCTTTAAAAAACAAAACAAAACATCTTAAATCTCTCACAGAATTAAAAATAAATTAAACAAATTTAAGTAAATGCTGTCCACGTAGGAGGCATCACGCCAGGTCATTAGGAGAAAAAAACTTTTCCTGGCCGTGAATTCTGGGTGGATTTTGAATGGTTCTATAAATAAAGTGCATTCAATAATGTACATAGTAGAAATTTTATTTAAAAGAATGTAAAAATATTCTGTGACATATTGTTAAATCTATATGTGATTAATTCTTAAATCATAGCTCAGTGTAGACAGTTTTAAGAGGACCAAAGTAACATTAGTCAGATCTATAGTTCTGGAGTATACTGACTTCTAAATTCCAATTGTCAATTAGAAAGCAATATTTTTTCCCAGACTAAAGAGCATGATATACTTGGCATGTGTGAATTTCCAGTCAAATGGAGCTTTCCAGCATCTGCTGATTCACTTTGATTTAATGACACTCCATTGATTCAAAGGAGAAAAGAAGAAAATGTTTATGAAAATATTCCCTTCTTAGTGTCTTTCATCAAAGTTCACTGGGCTCCAGAACATGCTACCATCCAAAGACTTCTAAAACAGAAAAGTATCATGTGTGGTTTGTACTTATTTCAGAGATGTGATGTTGGCATTTTCTTTGAAGTACATATGAAGTTGTCAGTTAGCTGGAGATGAGTTTTGCAGAACATGTTTATGGATTATTCAGTCCAAATACATTTTCAAAAATATTTTAGTTATTTTGGTGGGTTCAAAATACTTCCAGTACTTATTCTTTTTCTAATTTCTGCACCAGTTTTCTGACTCAGTCCTTCCACTTGGTAGCAGAGAATATAGTGAAAACTTAAGCATGTTTGAATGCTGTCAATTTCTGATTTTGAAAATAGCTATTCCCCTGCAGAGACCTCCTTCACATTTCCCACAAAGCCTCTGGCTTGGCGCAGCACACAACTGTGCATGAATGCCCTGAAATGGCATGTACCTGAGATTCTGTTAATCTACCATGTCCATACAAATGGGTGTTGTTGAACTTTCTTGGGATATGTCTAGGTGTTGCTGAACACGGAACACAAGTACTGAAACTTCCCCTGTAGCTGGAGCTGAGCAGGTTCTGCACAAATTATTTTTGGTACAAGTGAAAGAGTGAAGGTGAATTATTGGGTTATATTAGTTCATCCTCACATTGCTATAAAGAAATATCCAAGACTGGGTAATTTACAAAGAAAAGACGCTTAACTGGCTCACAGTTCTGCAGGCTGTATAGGAAGCATGATGGAATCTGCTCCACTTTTGGGGAGGCCTCAGGAAACTTACCATCATGGCAGAATGCAAAGAGGGAGCAGGCAAGCCACATGGTGGGAGCAGGAGCAAGAGAAAGAGAGGGAGGGAAGCATGTTTTTAAATGACCAGATCTTGTGAGAGTTTCACCCACTATCATGAGGACAGCACTAAGGGGATGGTGCTAAATCACTCATAAGAAATTCACTGCTATAGCAGATATTCAGGTTCTATGAAAAGTAAGTCAAGGATTCATCTTTCAAAGACTGGCTTAAGTTCATTCATTTTTTCGTACATTCTACAAACATTTATTCAGCACTTACTGCATACTATAAACTGGATTAGGCACTGGAAATACAATTGATGAAAAAAAAACTGGCCCTTAATTTCAAAAAATTTACAGGCTAGTGGAAGTGCTGTCAGGCAAACTGGCAATTATAGTCCAAGATGACATATTTTAATCTCTAGGCAAGATTATGGACCAAGGTGGCTTCCAAGGGCAAAAAGGACATCTAACGTGGGAAATTGAAGCTTGAAGAATGAGCAGAAGAAAGCCTAGGATAAAGATGACAAGGTGTGTAGACTGATGGGGGTGGGAACACATGCAGAGAACACCATGCCCAGCTGAAGGTAGAGACCTGAGCAATATTTCTGCAAGCCGAGGAACATCAAAGATTGCCGGAAACCCACCCGTAGCTACGAGACAGGCCTGGAGTGGATTCTGCACTCAGAGCCTCAGAAGGGAGCCAGTTCTGCTGACACCCTGATTTCGGACTTGTTGCTTTCAGGACCGTGAAAGAATAAATTTCTGTGACGTCATGCAGGTTGTGATACTTTGTTATGGCAGCCCTAGCACACTAATACAGTTGTTAAATGTATGCCACTCTTATTCTTGTGGCTATAATTTTTTCCACCCTTTCTTCTCTGTATGCGATGCCCACCCTTTCTTAATCTGTAGGAAAATTCTTCTTTATCTCCAAGATCCAGCACAGCGTCTCTTCTCTGAAGCACTCACTGGCCCACCCCACAAAGAGCCAGACTCTCTCTTCTGTGTTCCCAGTGGACTTCACACAGCCTCTGTGAACAGCACTCCACAGGCACCCTCTGTTGTCATTATTGCTGTCTTTGTCACTTAAGTGATCTCCTGGGGGGTAGGAGACAAAGTTTGTTTTCTCTATCCCTAGGCTTGATCTTAGAGCATGATGAAGTGCTGACCCCAGGAAATGTCCACTAAATAAATGATTGGAAAATTCATGAGATTGTTGTCTCTTCCTCTTCCATAATATATTGACAGGAGATTTTCAAAGGGTACAAAGATCATTTCCTATAACGGACTATAAAACGCAGTGTTTCCCTGTGGAGGTCACTGGCGGGCCATGACGCCTCCCTTGCAACTGTATTATTTCAGCTGAGATCAGACGTCACTGATGAGCGCGTGGAATGTGAACGTGTGTGTCGCTTCTGGTTCACTGCCACTCTCTCACTCCCCGCTCACTTGCAGTTTAATTATATATTTTTCTCCCTCAACTTCAATAAAACAAAAAGACAAATGCAAGCACTTGAGGGAGGCAGCTGCTGATGGTGGTGTTATAATTGTATAAAAGAATGATTTGTTTCTTTAGGAAAGACTATGCATAAGGGAGATTTTGAAGAAAAATCAGTAGAGCTTGGTAAATAATTGTACACAAATTCCAGGTAGGGTCAGATCTGTCTCAATGTTTTCAATTACTGGACGCTTCCAAGAATATTGGTGTGGTACCCATACAGAAGACACCTCAACATACACATCTCTTCCAGTGAAGTCCTGGTCCAGCTTCCTGCATAGTCAGCCTGGCTCTTCTCTTATGCTTTAGCCACACAAAGCCACCTGGCCGCTCTGGGCATTTCCTTCTGCTGCATGCCCCTTTGCTTAATACCCTTAGCTTCCTGGCTGTTTGAGAAATGCCTATTTATCATACACTATCTCACACAGCCCCAAATGCCACCTCCTTTTGCTACATTTCCCTTTAGCTCATCTTTCCTGAGTAGAATCCTCCCTTGCCAGCCTCCCATGCGAGCATCCCATATCATTCAACAGGCTACACGTGGACCATTCACCCACTTCTCCATCTCACCCTCTGAAGTTCTGACAGAACGGAGAGCAGGCATAAGAGACAAACATGATTTTTTAAAAAACACCAGCTTATTGCAGATAATGCTGATGGACAAAGCCACTAGTTTTCTTGCTTCCTTCCCACTAGGGAGAGTGCACATAGCCAATCTCAGAATAACTCCCTCCGAGGGACTGAGCCTTGATTTACTGCTGAGAAGGTAGGAGTGAAAAGATCAACAGGTTCACTTAGAAGTCAGGACATCCAGAAATTCTGGGACGATTTGGCTTTCCCACAGGATAAGCCATTTCTCAGTCTTCTCTCACAAGAATGAGATGCTGCATGAGGGTTAGGAGGGAGGTATTTCCATTCTGGTGTGGGGGACATAGGCTCTGGGACCTTTAAAAATTTGCTGAAAATCACTGACATGAGACAGATTGTTTAATAGGAGAAAAGGCATACAAAGGTATTCAGTGTGTATACACAGGACCCTTCAGAAGGAAGATTCAGCTTCTCAATAAGTTATAAAATCTTATATTCCATCTTAAGGTTACAGAAGAAAACAGTGGCTTAGAGCGTGGCCAAAACCAAGTTCTGTGGTAAGTCAGATTTAGTGGCAAGACAGGTTATGAGAGGGAGTAAGGAAGAGGCTTGGCCAGCAAGGGTGGATTTATTGTGCAGATGAAGCTTCCTCAGAAAGGGTAGATGGTAAACGTTTCTTTTTAAACTTCTAAAGATGTCAGATGTCTCAGTCTCTCTAGATTTGGGTAGTGCCTAGAAGCGGGAGGCCTGGCTGCGTTAACAGAGATTCTCTATGGATGAAAATTTCCCCCACCTCAGTCTTCTGGCCCTGTAGCAGCCATTTCAAAATAGACCAAAAAAGGATATTTTGGGTAAAACATTTTGATTTCCTTCACTGGCAATTTAAGAGGGAAGAGTTCTTGTTTTATAAGCAAGGGCAGAAGAGCAGGGTGAGAGGGAAAGTCCCTGAATGGGTCTCTGTTATTTTCTGTAACAGCAAGCTGGATACCATCTTCATGGAAATGACCACAATTAAAATTATGCTCTTTCTCATAGCTTAGTTGTTATTCTCTATCTTCCACTCAAGCTTATAAACTCCCCAAGGATGAAAACAATATCTGTTTTACTCATGAATGCATGGACTTAATTCTGAATAAGCATTCAATAATTCTTTGTTAAATGAACATGTGAATAAGAGCCAATGGTCAGAGGTGACCAAACATGCCCTCCAGAAAGAGAGTGTGGAGGGACAGGTATAGAGAATCAGTGTCATTCACCATCCCAGCTCATGGGGCATTGAGTCAGTCGGGGTATATTGGAGCTGACAAGAGTTATGCCTTATTCTAGAGCCTGAGGAAGCGAGACAAAAATAATACAGGATGGTCACAGGAGAATAGAAAATTTCAGGTCACAGTTTCCCATTCCCAGGACTCGCAAAAGGAAACTGTTAAAATAGCGTCAGAAGCTAGGGGCTGGTCTTGAAAAATCAGAGTGTGGGCCAAGCTGGCTAAGACTGGACCCAACAGGGCACTGGATATGATCTAGGTTTTTCCCAGAACCTCATGCTATGCTCAGTAACATAATTACACACCCACCATGCCATGATAGTTCTGATAATGCCCATATTGGTATAAAAATGGGTAGCACAACAAGTGAGAAATTCCCATTTTGTTCGAGGTAACTTCATAAATATTTGACCCCGTGGGTAAAGAAACCCACAAAGATAGCAGTCCCCAAATGAGGCTGCTTGAGGCAAATTGTTCTGGTCATTATCTTCCAGCTTCCTGAAGGAATAAGTACAAGTGTGAGTTCTCCCTGAGCTCCTCAGCTAGGATGGACACCAAGAACATCTAAGGAGCTTATTACAAAGTGTGTAGCTCGACCCCTTATCGGGCAGGACCTGCAGATGAGGACGTTGGGGCCACCAAGGAGTAGGGGTCTTGTTTTCAGGAAAGGAAGTCAGCGTGGACTGGGCCAGTGGTGTTCAGGGACTTACCAAGAAGCCTGGAATGCCTGGAGGAACAAAAGACAGGGGAAGGAGTTTGGTGAGACTTCAACCCAAGCTCTGAAGCAAGTAAGCCCTGAAAGTTCTATCCTTATCTGTTTTGTATATGGGTCCTAGACAAGGTTCTGTTTATGTCAATGTTCTGGTTGAAACTAACACCAGTAGTTTTAAACCATTCAAGTATATGTAGATGATCTCTAGGGTGTACATTAGTCTCTCAGATGGAACAGAAGCCAAATTTAAATCAGCCCAGACAGAAAAAGTGATTTGTTATCTCAAAGCTTCCATGGATCAAAAACCCAGGCACAGCATGGCTCACTGCTTCTCTGCACAAAGTCAAAACCAAAAGTGTTGACTGCATCACATTCCTGGCTGTCAGCTAGGAGCTTCTTCCAACTCCTTATCCCTTAGCCACATGCGTTCCTCATCACACTGCCACTTCTATCTTCAAATGAGAAACAGTGCATAGAGTCCTTCTCATAACTGAGCTCTCTCTCTCTCTCTCTCTTACTTTTTCTGCCACATCAGTTGGCTTCCAGCCAGAGAAAAGTCTCTTCTCATAAAGGCACAGGTGATAAGATTGGGCCCACCTGGGTAATCCAGGATACTCTCCCTTTGGGAGGTCCATAGCTTTAGTAACTTCTGCAAAGTCCCTTTGCCATGTAATGTAACATATTCATATTCACAGTTCTAGGACTCAGATGTAGACATCACTGGAAGGCTGTTTGCCTACCACAAGATCAGGCTAAACTTATGCTCAACATTCACTGGGGTGGCATTTGGAATCTAGAATAACTCAGCTTGATGGAACTATAAGTAGCATTGATTCCCAGTGCACTGTTTAGCTGTAATGCTTATTCTGTTCAGGATAATAGGCAGGACTTTCCAAGAATGAAAAGTTTAACTTGTAGCAAGTGAGTCTCTGCAAGCAGCATGGCCATCAAGACTGCAGCTTTCTGTTGTCTTCCCACTTTCCAAGGGAACAATGACAGTGAAAAAAATCACAGCTGAGTAACAGGATTCTTGGCAACATGCTAAACATGTCGGAAAGCTGGGGAAAATGTGACATAAGATAAATAATCATATACCACCAGGACCAAAAGAAAGATAAAGGACACCCCAGCCAGTAGAAACTGAGAAAAAACATTCAAACAAGAGGGATGAGCCCTAGTTAACACTGTTACCAGAAAGGAGTCCCAATTCAGACCCCAAAAGAGGGTTCTTGGATCTCGCATATGAAAGAATTCGTGGTGAGTCCACAGAGTAAAGTAAAAGCAAATTTATTAGAAAAGTAAAGGAATAAATAAGAGCTACTCCATAGGCAGAGAAGGGTGTTCCCAAAATAAGAGAACGAATGCATCCACCCTAGGTGCAATGCTTGTTTATGTAGAAGATAGCAATAACAACAAAATCATGGGGGAGATGTGCTCCACTACGAGGGTCTGGGATGAAGGATTGGTAATCTTTGTAACTTCTATTTTTTTGCAAGAATTGATTTGGCGAATAAAGAATAAGAATAAAGTCAGCCTTATTCTTAAACTAGGAATGCTTTTATTCTTAAGATTTTAGGACATCAGGACATTTGCTGGGTCTGTTCAGTTATGGGTCTGTTTATTATTATTATTAATCTGCTTTCCCTAACCCTAAACATTTTGTGACTAGGAATGCCTAACGTCCTGGGAATGCAGCCCAGCAGGTCTGTCTCATTTTACCCATCCTCTACTCAAGATGGAGTTTCTCTGGTTCAAATGCTTTTGACATATTTTCTCTTTCCCTTTTAAAGGGGACCTTTAATCCTAAGGGCTTCAGAGGCATGGAGATCCATTTTCTGTAATCTCTTCAGGCTGAATGGGGTGATGATATTCTTGCCGAACTATTAGGGTCTTTTGTATTCAGGATGGAGAGGAGCTCAGTCAGAAAGCATCCATATGGTGAGGGCCATTAATAACTCTGAGTCCCAACAAAAGGTGATATCTGGAAGATTAAGTGCCCAGTTTAAGAAAACATTGATTAAGCCTATCCTGCATTCCTACGCAAAGAGAGCAACGGCAATATATTCCACAACAGTAAACAAAATAAGTAAAATTTTCCCAAGTGAACTAAATAAGAAGGCTTTCCATAAACTGGGCAGTTGTTAGAACCCAGCTGATATGGAGTCACTAGCCAATTCCAATACATGTCCAAAGCACTTGATGCAGATTTTTATGTTGCATGTTACCCCTGTTTCTTCTGAGTAGCAGCCAGAGAGCACTGGGTGGCTCACCGGAATAAGCAGGGTCAGTCTAAATTGTAGAAAAAAAGCTCAGAAATAACTGACAAGACTAGAATGTAATAAAAGGTGCACCAGTTTGTGAAACATTTTTTTTTCTCTCCCCAGTCCCCATTTTTATTCCAAACAAATCATGATAGGAATGATTTGTTTACAAAGTAAGTTTTAGTTTTATTATGCTTAGCTTATTTGTATAAAGTGCAGTAAGAATAATTATTTGCCATGTAAGCTTCTTTTTAAATTGTCTTTGATGGAACTTTATTCCATAAGGCATATCAGATTAGATGTTTAAAAGCCTTGAACCCATCCATGAGTTTACCTATGCCTGCAAATACTTGTAAGAGTTAGGTAAGTTTCTGTCCTCTCAACATCCCAAGTTAACTTGGGGCTCTTGGGCCTGTCAGAAAATGACATTCTTGCCAAGAATGTTAGCTCATGACTGTAATCCCAGCACTTTGGGAGGCCAAGGCGTGTGGATAATTTGAGGTTGAGAGTTGGAGACTAGCCTGGCCAACGTAGTGAAATTCTACCTCTTCTGAAAATACAAACATTAGCCAGGTGGTAGTGGCACATGCCTGTAAGTCCAGCTACTCAGGAGGCTGAGGCAGGAGAAATGCTTGAGCTTGGGAGGCAGACGTTGCAGTGAGCTGAGATCAAGCCACTATCCTCTAGTCCAGGCAACAAAGCAACACTCCATCTCAAAAAAAGAAAAGAAAGAAAGAAAAGAAACTGACGTTCTTTACTTACCACAGGTCAAAAACCCTGCAGAGGGGACTGTGTAGATAAAATATGAGGACAGTTTTCCAAAGGAGCATTTATTTTGGCTCTACAAGTCAACTTTGATTCCTTAAAGCAGTCTGTTTGTATCTGAAAGCATGTAATTCCAGTCAAAGCCTTGCTAAAATAACCAGTTTTTCCAATTGTGTTCTCTTGCAAAATAAAACAGATTCTTACTGTACTATGCAAATAACTATATTGATATCAGTTGAGAATACTCACAAATAGTTGCCAAACTCTGGAGAAATTAGGTAGAGAGAAATAAATATGCTCCAAATTTCATTTATGGGACTCAATTGCTAAAAGTTGTCAGAGCTCAAAAGTAAATTTTTCTTGACTCTGAAAAAACAAAACTGAAAGAATTGGCAACTTTTTAAGCAAAAAGTCATCCATGCTACTATATTCTGTTTTTCTCAATGTTTATGAAGATGTTTTCCAAGAGAGTCTTTGAAGTTCTTTCCTCTCTATTTTATTGGCACACTTTCCAAAGTTATCAGAGACCTGTATTTAAGAGTACTTGTCAGAGTTCTGCAGCTGACTATAAACCACCTTTGAAAGAGGATGAAAACAAGGCAACAATTGTCTGTGGATGACAAAAGTTCTTAGGGAAGACATGGTTAAAGACACAATTGACTTTTTGTTTCTTCTGTGGAAATTTTGGTTTCTTCTGTGCTATACAACAATTTTACATAATAATTATCATTACTGATAACATACACTAAGTAATATCAGAATTATAGGAGTTTCTGATAATATTGGAACATATACCAATAGCAAATTTATATAAATACAGCCCAAAGAAAGTCCAACACCATTTCATATTTTACAATGCTTTCTGTATAATTTTAATATGCCAAATAAGCTAAGTATGTCATTTTTGGACTTTGGGGCACCTAGTATCTTAAGGGTTAATTAGATCAGAAAAAGACATAATTTAGAATTTGATTTTGGAAAATTTGTCAATTTGATTATCAAAAGTTTAAAACACTTGATACTCCAAAATAAAATTCCAGGTCACCCTGAGTCATTTATTTATCCAAAATTGTAACTCGAAGATTTTAGAAAGGCCTTTACTCATTGAAAGAAGGAAGACTCACTTTTCCAATCAGTCTCTTTTCTTTCTTTTCTATTTTCTGTAGCTTATTCAAATGGCAAACAAAAATCTTTTCTTTGTATTACATGAAAATCTTCTTCAAGAGAGAAAGCCAAATTTCACCTTTTGCATTTGTGTACTATTAAAGTCAAATTCAATTCTTAATAAGACCTCTGAACAACTGTATCCAATCTTAATCAGTTTGGCCATAAGGTAAGATTCTCATAAACCTTTTACAATCTTTTATTTTTTTTTTGTTTTTTAAGGAACAGATCAATGGTCTAAGAATACCATGTTGTGCTGATGTTCAATTTTGAGAACAAATGAATAGTCCCCTTTTAACTTTAGCTAATATGTTCATACATATAATTTATTTTATAACATCGATCTTTCACAAACCACTGAAACCTTCAGCTTTACCCTATCTAAACTAAAACAGTACTTTTCTAAACCAGGCTAAAAAAAAAAACAAAACAAAACAACAACCCACATCCTTACATTTATTAGTTTTTTTCACCAAAAATACATTCTACTTTTCTTACACAACATTCATGTAATACTGTTCATTAGTAGTCTCAGTCACATATGTTACAATGATAACTCTTAGCAACTTTTATTTTTGGTGAAAAACCTGGTAGGTAAGCTATTTCAATTACGTACCAGGCATGGAGCCCAGGACACCAGACAGAAGTACAGATATTCTTTTCAGCATAGCCAGGGGGTATGACTAACTCCACATGTCCCCAAGCCTTCTTTAGAATCAAACAGTTCCTAAGCAGGTAAGTTGAAAAATTTTCATGTCAAAGGCAAAGTTTATGCAGTTTCAGTAAACATAATATCTGACCTGCCTAATTAGACCAAATGTGTAAGTTTTGAAGACATTTTTATTTTACCAACAGTCTTTAAAACTGTCTTTATTTACTAAATATTACTGAAGGCATGTGAACTAAAAGGCATTAAATTTTTTCTTGTTTTGACAAAATATTTGATTTAGCACTTATTTTTCTTTAAGTAAATTATTAGAGCTCATTTATATAAACATCAAATACACAACACATATAAATACACAGACAGGAGAAAATCCAGTAGTTGTAGGATTTTTCATTTGCCAGTTTTAAGTTTCTTAACTGGATTACTGGCTTCAAGGTGTAGCCCTACAAAAAACAGGGGCAGGAAAACATGCAGTTTCTAGGGTCCAATAAGATTACACAGCTGGAAGGCAAAACAGATCTCCCAAAATTGTGGGTATCATTTTTATACCAGATCATGGATCCCAAAAAAGAGGGAATCAGCCCATCCCTCAATGGAGTCTTATATCTCAGTGCGTGTGTGTGTGTGTGTGTGTGTGTGCTGGGGGGTGGGGGGTGGAGATTTTTCCATGCCTTCTAGGTGACCAAGAGCATGTTTCTCTGATCCAAATGTGCAAAGAGCAGAGTATCCCCCGTAACTGCCATTAGTCATCCTGAAAGATATATTTCCTACCTAGTTATTACATAGCAGAGCTGAAGCTCTCTCATAATACAAAGTAATTTCTGATATTACCAAAAGTCAAATTTTTCAGGTAATGCAATGCAAAACAAAACATAGCCTTCTATTTTGAGAGGGATCTATCTGCTTTCAATTCCTTGGGTTCCATGTGGAAAACAGAGGTATTTCACAAAACAGGGTCTGTGGTAGTTCAGTCAGGGTTGAGGCAAAAATATTAAGGGAAAAATATTAGAGAAAATTATAGAAAATAGTCACAGAACTTTTTGGAAGGCTGGAAGTTTTTGTAAAAGCCTCAGGATAGAATTATGGCTGAAGGCAGCCTAATCCACCTTTACCTTTAGTTGATAAAGAAAAGCAAATAACTAGGGAATGTGGGAGACTTTATCTGAGTAATTTGTTTACTCATGTGGCCCTAAAACTAACCTTTAATCTTTCACAGACTGGATGGGTTTACTGGGAGGGAGGGCCACCAGATTTATCACCCAAAAATGGTGTTTTCCTTAGAACTTGGCACCTGGCCTTTAATCTTTACCCTCTAGTGGTGTTGACTCAAAGCCTTTGTCATTGAATGTGTGCTGAATAAAGGCCAGCAAGGCCAGGGAGTCAGGCTGGTGGCCATTTAACTCCTTTGAGTGAGTGGCCATGGACACTGCTAGCTTGCTTTTTCACCGTATTCTGTGTCCGAGTGAGTTTACTCAGCTGCCGCTGGGTCAGGGTCTGTGAGTTGGACCCCAGGAAGGGTCTGTGGTGCCTCTTCTGTTTTCCCCAAGGAGTCGCAGGGTGTTAGAAATCATCTTAAGTCCTCTTATGTAGGCATCAAGAGTGGCATGAAAACAAACTGGAGAAAAGTTATTCAGTCAACCAAGTAAAAATAACAAACTTTTTATTTAGAAAAACTCAATCCAAGAAGATAAAAAAAAAAAAGAGGCCTCTTAAATATAGGTATAGCTTGCATATTTGCTTTTAGTTGAGCTGAATTTTAACCATAACATTCTTTTAAAAATTATTTAAAATCTCTTATTACCTGGCCCTAGCAAGGACAAACAGCTAATATTTCTGGCTTTTGGACTTTACCAGATGCAACCTCCCAGGTGAGACCAACAAGCCTTAACTAAGGTTATTTAACCATAGTTAAAATACCATATATGAGGTATTTTCAAAGAGGTAGTTAGCATTTTTTACAAGATCTGATACTTCCCAAGGTAGCTCAGAGAAAGGAAAATTCAAGACAGGAAGTTGTTCATGGAGGGAAAAAGAATCGATAAATGGTAAAGGTCACACAAATATCAAACCAGAAAGGACTCATTCCCTAAGCTGGGAATTGAACCCAGAATGTCTTATTGTGAAAAGACAAAGCCGTAACTACTGAGACACAGCATTGGGTCATTTCTATTGTTCTTCCCAGAAGGAGCCTAGAGAAGTCAATTCTGAGCTTGCCAAAGTTTTCAATTGCTCAAGATAATTTTTAGGGATAACTATGTCATGAACCCCCAAATTCCTGTCCTCTGGATGGCACAGACACAGAGAAAAGTATCCCCACATGGTCATAAGGTTAAGGACTCAAGGATATGAAACAAGACAAGAGAAAAATCTCATCCAGGTTTTGTATCTGGGGACTGAAGCAAAGTTTGTAACTGAACAGTTTGCTGAGCCAGCTTGAAGAAAGGATTTACAGGGGTGCTAAGCCCACACTGTATCCGTAGTGCCTCCTCCATAACAGAACAACACAGAGAGACAAATGGATAGCACAAGGTACACCAGATTCACTGTTGTCCCTTGTTCATTCTGTGTTGTTCTTTCTATTAATTAGGCTGTAGCGACAGCCTAAGGCTAGCCTCATCATTATTTTTTTCCCATTAATCAAAACTTTGCAGAGGAGGCAGTGATTTTTACTATTCATTCACCCAATTTGCATAGAAAGAGAGAGGTCAGAAGCCTGACTGGTAAGAAATTCTTCTTGCCCTTGAACCTGCATGCCAGGTTTCTGGGTTCCCTTCTCTGAGTGCTTTGATGGCCCTGCTGACTGTGCCATAGTTATGGGGGCCAAGCCATGTTACAAAAGAAAATCATCATTTTCCGTTTCATAGAACCATAGGCAAAAGCCTCACAATTTTTCAAGATGCCACCCAACAGGTTGCATGGGGAGAACTGAATTAACATTTTCCATTCTAACTGGAGCAAAATATACGTGACAAAACATAGACCCCAGCCACCCTGCTCAGGACCTAATATTAACCTGGTAAGGCTCAAATGTGCCCCCGTTGGCTCCTGTCATCTTTAATCTACTCAAAGTAAGATGGAATGATCTCTGATCAGAAGTTTCAACATGTGGTTTCAGGGCAAGATGGAAGGGTGGACAGTCACTCTGAGTGACAGAAAAGATAGAAAGGGAAAAGGAGAGAAGAAGAGGGAGAGGAAAGGGGAGAGAGAAAAGCTTGCCAGTGGCAGGGTTGGGGAGGTGAGAAGCTCACAGAGACCAAAGAAAGACCCACCCATTGCAGTGACACTGAGTCAAAAGTTTAAGTGGCCACTTGTCAGTCATAAAGGGACCTTTTCCAGCAGTCCCATCAGTTCTCAAGTTTTCCCGGGGAGGAGGAAAGCTCCCCATGTTGCCTGCCTATGCCTAGTCCTGTCGTCCACAGCCATCAGCAAAAATGCAAGGCAGATTAAAGAGAATAGCAGTTAACATCTCGGAGTGCCAAATCTGTTTTTAACCAAAAGGGGACTTTACCATGGAGGACCCCTAAGCACTTATGTCTTAGGATGAACTCTACCTGTCCTAATTTGAACCTCTAATTCAAGTTCAGGCAAACAGTCTTGCACCGTACTAAGAGGCACCTTTAAGCCCCAGTTTCTGATTTTTATTTATTTATTTTTTTGAGACGAGTCTTGCTCTGTTGCCAGGCTGGAGTGCAGTGGCATGATCTCAGCTCACTGCAATTCTCCTGCCTCAGCTTCCCGAGTAGCTGGGACTACAGGCACACACCACCACACCCAGATAA